TCTTCTTAGAAGGATAAAGGAAGATGATGAAAAACTCTATGGTGGCTAGGGGGCTTGAGAGAAATTGACACAGAGAGGTATGAGATAGAGAGAGAGAGATTGTTATTAGAGGAAGGGAGAGAGCAAGGGTAGAAAATACTTATTGGCTAATAAATCATATAAAATTAAAAGGGATTAATTTGGCATTAATTGGGGATTAATTCTATGATTAAATGAACCCTTAACAGCTGGAGTAATGGCTATCATTAGGTTGTAAAATCGTGTGGAAGACAAATGAAAGAGTTAGGTCAACTTCTAGAGTTTCTATTCTTGTTCGCGTGCAGTAACCTGGTCGGAGACTTCTCGGTATTCATATGGTATATTGGCCACGTCTTACTCCGATCTTTGATTTGCGTAAATGAGAAGGCGTTGGAAAGCTTATAAAAGGCTCTACAACTTTGTATAAACTAAAGGAATAATTTCAGAATTTTAAAGGTCTAAAAAAGAGTTAGAAATTAACGTCATGGGAATAATTTTTTTTGTCTATGAAGAAAAATCAAGAAAAACTTAGAATTTTCCTAAGACACTTAATTCCATGCATTATAACATGAAGTACATCATATCATGAACATATATTCATTGATCAAATCATCAAAAAAAAGAACATATATATAATTTCTATAAAATGGCATGAACTTGTTCTCGGCATCTTGAGTCCTCGTCGCGTTCACCTGTAACAAATAACTCAATGTGATGTTAGAATTAACTATATATAACACCATAACATCATTCAAGTTAATTCTTAACGTCTATTTTTAAGAATTTTATCGTTTTAAAAAAAAGGGTGTTACACTTTGATTTTTAAAATGTGAAAAATATAAACCTACAGCTAAATGTATATATGTTTTGTTTTGAAAACATAATCTTTTCTGGTTTTCAAAACATAATCTTTTCTGGTTTTCATTATCTCCAACAAAACACATGGTTGTGTTTAGAGTTATAAACAAATTAAGGAAAAATGACCTAGTGTTTGTGAGGTTTTCCAAATATCAACTTCTAAGGTAGCTCCGCCTCTTTCTTTTCCTTCTTCCG